CACTGCTATAGAATACAATTCCATTGCTTACCACTGTGTATTTATCCAGAAAATATTCTCTAAACATCTAAGTTTTGTACAGTCTTGATATTCCAATGAAGCAGATGAAGTACATCTGCAGGGGGAGGGGGAATCTATTAAAAGAACCGGGGCCTTGCAATGCTAGCAGAAAATAACTAGTGTAGAAGGTGTGGCAGTGCAAAACATAACCATCCATAATCTAGAAGTGATTTCCCCATGGAGATCTATTCCCCTCTTGGCCAGGGAAATGAATTTCAGAAAGGAATTCCTTCTGTAGTTTTGCACATCACTGAAATGAGTTGCCAGCACATTTCTTAACAAATCACATTTTCTCTATATAGTCTTCAAAACGTTTGCTGCTGGAAATCTGGGAAAGTGATTTCTTTAACAATCTCATTATCACAGTGCATGTTTTTGAAATAAAGTTGAAGAATATTCCTGGGGCTTGCACATTTATGTTGTCTGCTGGTGGTGCTTAATGTTAGGCTAGCCTAAATAGGGTTTAAATATGGCACACCCACCCATCTGGTTATTGTTGCTGATAGGCAAAGCATTTCAATCGATGAATCCTAGTTCTGTAGTGACTCAAGAAGTATTGGATCCAGACCCACTCATGTTTAGAACAGACCCAGTGAAATCAACAGGATTTAGGTCCCATTTATTTCAGTAGATCTTCTCAAAACACAAGTGGTAAAGCAGTGGGATGTGGAGGGTGGAGATAAAAATTGGCCACAATCCCTGCACCAGGCTCAGCCCTACCCCAACCTAAGCAAACCCCATCTTGGCGCTTTCCAGTAGGGGCTTCCATCACTGGATCTTCCACCCAAACACACATTCAGCAGGCAGAATGGGGCAGTCTGTACTGGTGGAGTGATGCTTGTGTCATCATCAGTGGTCAGCAGAAGACTGCCTGAGCTGACAGAAGTGAAGGAACATTTCTGCTCCATCAAAACCCAGCTGACCAGCGTAAGACAGATTTGGATTGCAGCCAACTTGTATGTCTTTTACAGTACAACCTGCAGTAATATTATTCACTGTCCATTCATGTGTTACGATATAAAGGCTTGATTCCCAACATCATGGAATATAGATCCACACTTAATGCAAATCCTGATTTTTAGAGAATATTTTATTTGGTAATTTGTTCACATTTGAAGTCCATTTTTAATACTGAAGAAAACATTTTTGCCTCAGATATCTCCAGTAAAGCTGAAGTGTTTCCCAGCTCGTTAGTGTAGTCAACATTAGAGTAGCCAACAAAGTTAAATCCCCTTTAACTATCTCTGTACTGATAAACCAACATGCCATGTAAGAGAAGAAGCTGAACATGACCATTGTTTAGCTAAAATGGGGCTTTCTTTGGTAAATAACCAATAAATACAAGATATGAAGTGTACATCTTAGTTTCTGTGTTGGTGTAGCAAGTTGAATCCTCCTACCTGAGGGTCCATGTTGCACGCAGCCCCAGGACTCCCCCCAAACCAGCCTGGAGGCAGGGCTTTGCCCCGCAACCGGCCAGTAGTACTGCGATCATGCCAGGGGCCTTGGGGCCAATCATCGGAGCTGACGTGATCGTGAGGTAATTATATATACGGCAGCGTGACGTGTGCGTGTCTCAAGGTATTTATGTAAGAGGCTCCTTTATCATTATATTTTGGGAATGATTCATGTTTTTATGTAGCTGCATTGTTTTATACTTTCTGGATGTTACGTGATCACATTATACAGTGGTACCTTGGGTTAAGAACTTAATTTGTTCTGGAGGTCCATTCTTAACCTGAAACTGTTCTTAACCTGAGGTACCACTTTAGCTAATGGGGCCTGCCGCTGCCACCATGCTGCCACCATGCGATTTCTGTTCTCATCCTGAGGTAAAGTTCTTAACCCAAGGTACTATTTCTGGGTTAGCAGAGTCTGTAACCTGAAGAGTCTGTAACCCAAGGTACCACTGTAAAGTCATTGTGTTCTACATTATACATCAAGCACTGCTAGAAGTTGTTTCTTTTTGTTTTCCAATGTATTTCTTATCAATAAAAAATGGATGTGGCACGAGCAAATTTTTATTCTTAAAGTATGGCTCAGAGAAAAAAGTTTGAGAACCACTGCTGTATGAGAAATAAGTGAATTCTAAGATAAATCTTTAAACAGACAATTACCTTGCAGCATTTATAATCTGTCTCTTTAGTGCCTATCTTGCAGCAAGAGTTAATGAAAAGAGAATGCCAAAGGAGCCATTTTTGTGCCTTATGTTTCTACCTTGACAAGCCAGATATTTATTTAAAACCCTTCTAGAGTTAGCTTCCCTGGCGTTTTAACTGTTCTGCCTCATGCTTCATTCGCCCGGTTGATAGATAACATCATAATAATAAGCTAGCTACCTTCAGAATCAGATTCAAATAAAATATGCCCAAATAACTTGCAAATAATTTAATTGTGTCACGAGCTCGGCAGGGAACTGTCAGTTTGATGCATTCAGCTGAGAAAGATGGAGATCACCTCATGAAATTACTGTACGCTACAGGGAAAATGAAATTAGACACAGAACTATAGGCAGATGCCTCAGTCCCTGAAGCATTGTGTGTGGTTCTGCTGCAGTCAGGGAGATTGTTCCAATGTCCTCTATCAAAGTGACTGCTCTGAAAGAAGAGAATACAGTTCAGTTTTATAGATGAAAGCAGGGTGGGTGAGTGTGGGTGGGTGTGTGACAGTAATCACTGGTATGGAGTACTGACACCTCTTTTTTGTTGTTGCCCATGGCAGCCATTTTGAGGGATCTTCGGGGAGGGCTGATCACAAAAGCCTTTCAACATCACAGAATTACAGCTGGGGACCCACAGGAGTAATCAGTAATTTTTTAAAAAATAAAATAAAAAAATTAAAACAAAAAAATTTGTTGCGGGTTAGGGGCTACAAAACCCTTTTGGCATCACCTTTGAGAGCAGTCAGTAAAAGAATAATTATTAAATATATAAGAATAATTAAAAATATTTTAAAAGACAAATGTCGGGGGCTTGGATGGCCACAAATCCTTTTATCAGTATAGTATCACCTATGAGATCAGTCAGTAATAAAAATGGCTGTTTGTTTGTTTGTTTGTTTGTTTAAATGAAAATAAATGGAGGGCTTTATGAGAATACAAAATACTATTTGCCATTATAACATTGCAGTGGGGGACCTATGAGAACATTCATAATAAGAATAAGAATAATATCACTTTTAAAATGACTAGCCATCCTTACTCTAAGCCACTCCCAGGGGAAATGGGCCTTCAGGGATCTCTCCCAAAGAAAAATATGCTTGTTTCCAAACAGACAGCTATTTTCATCCTCCTCTTAGTCTTGTGATGGTATCTCACCTACAATGAGCTGAGTGCCTATGAAGGTTTAATGTTTCCTTCGACACAAAGCGCTCCTCAGTCAATAGTAGCTGTAAAAATGTCATCTTCGTGCTAAGAAAAGAGACACACACCATGGAGTTCCTGAAGCATATCCAGCTCAGGACTCATCAGAATCAATAATTGATATAGCATATTAATGTGAAGGAAGCTAAAATGCCATCTCGAGTTTCAGTTTAATGGCAGGTATAGCAGTAATGAGAGGAAAGGAAAGCAAAAACATATAACTCTTTTGAGGACACTCCACTGGGTCTGTCTGCTTAGTACAGTGCTGCAACCCTACTTCTCAAATGGCTCTCTTAATACAGCAAGTTCCATTAGTAGTAGTAGTAGTAGTAGTAGTAATAATAATAATACCCTGCCCATAGCACAACCAGCACAGTTTCTGCAATAGTAAGTCCTGTCTCACTAACCTTTTGAGATTGCCAACAAGCAAATAGACTGTGATGATCCAGTAATATTATCATGCTATGTAACCAAATTGTGGTGATATTGAAAGCAAAGCCAATCCAGAACAGTGCTTCTTAGATCAGTCAAATGAGATGTCAAATAGCAGGTGTGATATTGTCACAATGGTACATCATCATCCATCTGTTTTGGCTACCTGCTGAAATCATGGAAGGCAACAAAGATATTTCAGGCAACTGCTTTCTGCACTGGTAAAATCTTGCAAACCAAAAATTGTCAAGAGGGGGATGCTTTCAGACTCTGCCAAGTAGGTTCCCTGAAACATTTCTAATTTTGAGCCTAACTCAACTTTCCCACTACCTCAAAGATGCTCTGGGATATTTTTTCCCCCCAGGAAAATGAAAACAAAATTGTCCAACGCCATAAAAACTGAACCTATAAATTGAAAACTGAGAAAGTCAATTAGATACCAATTTTAATTGAATTTCCCCGAAGCAAGCTCAGTTATTTATCCACAAAGAGACACATTCTCCATCCACAGTGTGGCCTGTGCTTTATTGAATGAAGTCTTTAAAGATAAATGACTTTACTATTAGTACAGGGCAATGAAAATGAAATCAATGTCAGACAGTCTCCTATGTGTCTTGTCCAGAAGCTTCAGAACATTACATACAGTGGCAGAGACACAGAAAACAGGAGGAGCCCTGACCAAATTCTTGTGTCCCATTTTCAAATCATTTTCAAGCTAAGAAGATGTGAGCAGTCTGCATGAAGCAGGCCACCATTTGGATTGCTAAATTCATCTGTTCATTTCAGATGAACATTCATTTATTGGCCTTTATTTAATATTTAATCTTATGATGCTATTTTACTGCTTTATGCTTGCATTTTTGTACACTGCTTAAGAGATTTTTTAAAATATTCAGTGGTTTAGAAATGTTTTTAAATAAACAAGTTTACAGGTGGCCAAGGAGACACACAAACCCCTCCCCCACAGAATTTCTTTTTAAAGCATCTTCTCCATTGGCATATAAGAGGAGGGCTGGAAATGGCTTGTTTGCCCGTCCTTCCCTTCCATTTTATGAACCCACCTGGACCACACTAGAAAAGTACACATACACACCTGAGGCAACATCATGGTGCAATAGTTACCGGAACTCACCATGAACGCTTCCCTTGTTTTCTTATAATGGCAATGGCACCCGCCTGAGAGGTGAGTTCTGGTGAGTTCCGGCTGGTTAAAAAAAAAAGCCCTGGGCAGCCTAATTAATGGATGAAACTCAGGGACAGAGCAACTGAGCTCTGTCTGTTTGCAGAAGGTGCTAAGCCATTCTGAAGAAAATCACAAACCCCATCACAAATCTGGGTAATGTCAAGTACAGTACCTGTTGCTTGCATTTCACCCAAACTGGAGGAAGTGAGTTTCCTTTATTGCTTTTCATCAAACACACGCAGAGACTGTATTTGTAAGAGTTCAGAGGAATCTCAACAATAGCTTTCATTGTTCACCGTCTTAAGCTGGTGTGCAGGAGAGGTGCTGTCCTACGTGCCTATGGCCACCCATAGGGATGCTAGGACAAATAAGTACAATGGCTGCTTCCCCCTTTTTTGCAAATATAAAAACTAGCACTTACCTGGAATCAGAGGGCATGTTTCCTATTTTGTGACCTTTCAGTTCATCCTAATGCAACCTGCTGTGGATTTTAGGCTTTTCCTTATTGACCAGCTCCTTTTGTTTTTCATACACATCAGAGAGTGAAGAGTAGCTACACTTCACTGTGGAGTGAACCATGTAGCATCATGTTGGAGAATAAAGATTGGCTACATCTCACTATAGACCGAATACTTAGTAGCAGTCCTGACTTTGGTGCCATGGGAGGGTCAAAGCTCAATAGCAGAGAATCTTGCCCTTGCATGGAGAAGCTCCCAGATTCCATTCCTGTCATCTTCAGGTAGGGCTGGGAATGACTTCTGCCTGAAGTGGTCAATGGCCTGACTCCATATAAGGCAACTTCCTCTCTTCCTAAGATGAGGCACCTTCAAACCACTCCATGCTGGTGAGAAGATGTCCTGTCTTTCTCAGTCTTCCAGCATCTCCCTCCCACTTCTCAGTGATATGAACTCTGGATTTGAGTTCACCAGTGGCCCTGGAGAATATGATGATTCCCTACCCACCTCCACCACAAGTTAATTTTTACAAAATCAAAATTATCCAACCTAAGATATTTCTTGACCTGGGGAGTTGTGGGTGGAGGGGGTGGGGCTGGGGAAGAAGGACCAGTGGAAGTGTTTGATTTTTTTATTGCAAAAAATGGCTAGTGGAGACAGAGGTTGCCAATGTTTCCCCTACCATTGTAAAGGTAAAGATAAAGGGACCCCTGACCATTAGGTCCAGTCGTGTCCGACTCTGGGGTTGCAGTGCTCATCTCGCTTTATTGGCCAAGGGAGCCAGCGTACAGCTTCCGGGTCATGTGGCCAGCATGACTAAGCCGCTTCTGGTGAACCAGAGCAGCGCATGGAAACGCTGTTTACCTTCCCACCAGAGCGGTACCTATTTATCTACTTGCACTTTGACGTGCTTTCGAACTGCTAGGTGGGTAGGAGCAGGGGCTGAGCAACGGGAGCTCACCCCGTTGTGGGGATTCGAACCGCCGACCTTCTGATTGGCAAGTCCTAGGCTCTGTGGTTTAACCCACAGCAGCTGTTATCAAATTCACAATCTTCACCAGCATGCATTTTACTGGGGGTGGGAGAAGCCTGGGAAGACTGATCCCAAGACACTTGGAACCATGTGCAATGAAGAGCCTAAGTTACAAGGCAGTGTCAGAAACTGGAATCCACACTATTTGATATCTGTTCAATATGCTATCATTCTCCTTTCTCTCACTTACTGTATCTTGCAGCCTGCTGTCTTTTTAAACTCTCACCCTAGCTTGTCCTTTGGCTGCATGGAAAAGACGTTGAGGGGACATGGGGATTGTCACTATTTTTATTTAATTGTTTCAATTTTTAATAAGACCAGCAATAAAATCTTCATCATAATAAATAGTGGATCAGTTTAGAAATGCCAGGTTCTATAATTAAATTATGGTGTAGGCCTATCTATAGAAACTTGAGTTTATGGGAACTACGTAGGCTGTTAATATTTCTCAGCTTGCCCACCAGCTATCTCAGCATTTCAATCACAGTGGAGTTGCCTATGCAGAAATCAACAATCTGCAGCTTTAATCATTCACACTGTCTTGTTGTTTCATTTTTAGGAATACAAGGGGGGAAATAGCCTCGGTGAAAGGTCAGCCTCAAACCATGCCAGACATGGCAATCAAATGAGCTAATCCAAAAGTGGGGAAGCTGTCAGCGTGCCAAAAGCTATGCCGGGGGGGAAATAAGAAGTCTGTATTTATAGACTGCCTGAGTAAGAGATGGAACACCAGGTTTTTGTAAAGCCCTCTTCAGGAACTCCAGCAATTGCATGCAGCAGCAGTGGGGAACTGGATCAGGCTGGCAGGCCATATTCTATACTACTTCCCACCCCACCCTCTAGCCAAGTTTGACAGAAGGGCAGGGCCACTGCCTGTCAATCCCCTGGTTTCAAAATGACATCAAGTGGCCCACATTTGCCCACCCCACTCAAAGTGTGCAGGCAGAGTGCAGTGCATTGTGCTTTGCAAGCCCCAACCATCAGCTGACCACCAGGGCATGCAAAATAAGGTGCTCACAGCTATGCTAGCCCCAATGATCAAGCTGATGTCCGGGGCTTTGCAGGTGTCGCCAATGAGCTGGTCAGCAGTACCTGTCAACCCCTTTTCGGCTCGATGTCAGTAAGGTGGGCATGGCTGGGCCAAATGGAGAGGACTGGCAGGCCTAATTAAGCCAACAGGTCAGATGTATGTTATTGCTGATATATACGAAGGATGGAGGAGTTTGTGAGAACAACTATCTGACGTTTAGAAGACATCTGAAGGCAGCCCTGTTTAGGGAAGTTTTTAATGACTGATGTTTTAATGTATTTTTAATCCTTTGTTGGAAACTGCCCAGAGTGGCTGGGGAAACCCAGCCAAATGGGTGGGGTATAAATAATAGATGATGATGATGATGATTTACCCCACCCCACCCATAATCCTGCACATGCTGGAAGGTGACTCTATGGAGCTAGGAGCCTGATTCCTTCTGTGTAGATACTCCAAGTGATATAGAACCCTGCAAAAATCACCCTGGTACCCATGATTTAGGAGGTCCTGCAGCTGGTATCCACAGGCCAGCACTGTGGCCTCCCACCTACCTGGAAAGGTTCTCACCTTCTTCCCTTCTAAGAGTAAGGAAAAGAGGGATGGAAAATGTAATGATGGAACTTGTGATCTGTTGACACTCCCTTAGCGTTAAGAATTTGGCATTTTGAGAATTCTCCAGGGAGTAACATTACATGGGCAGCTCCTTAGTCCTTTAGTTTCAGTGCTGGCAAGGGGTCTTTGAATTTCCTCTGCATAAAGTGCTTTCTAATAAACTATTCCTCATTCTTGGTGCCTGTTCTTGGACACAGAAACATCACAGTAGAAACTATGATATTACCCGGTCCTTCTTTACATGCTCACCACTGCTAGTTTAGCCCTGACTGTAAGCTTGTGTTACAATGCTACCGCTAGGTCTACAGCAAGCTATATAGTCTTTTTTTTTTTTTTTTAAAATAAATTTTTATTAATTTTCCAAACACAAAATAAAAAATAAAAAAAAAAAAACAATACACAATACACCGACATACAAACATATAAACATGTATAATTTCATAACCATTTTTTCATAAACCTTACTTTCCGGACTTCCCCATACCTCCCCTTTTCTGCATCCTTGTTTTATATTTCTTCAGCAACTCCTCAGTCGACTAATTATTCAATTCAATTTCTTTTAAGTTCTTCTAATATTGTTAATTACAGCTGCAATTCTCTGTTTCCCAACCCCTTGACATTTTAACATTCCTGAATTTTACAACAAGTTCTAAGATAAACTTTGAATTTCTTCCAATCTTCTTCCACTGTCTCTTTCCCCTGGTCACGGATTCTGCCAGTCAACTCCGCCAGTCCCATGTAGTCGATCACCTTCGTCTGCCATTCTTCCAGTGTGGGTAGTTGTTGTGCCTTCCAATACTTTGCTAGAAGAATCCTTGCTGCTGTGGTCGCATACATAAAAAACGTCCTGTCCTTCCCTTCTCACCAATTGGCCGACAATGCCCAGGAGAAAAGCCTCAGGTTTTTAGGAAGGTCCATTTAAGAACCTTCTTAATTTCATTATAGATCATTTCCCAAAAGCTTTTATCCTCGGGCAGGTCCACCAAAGGTGGTAAAAGTACCTTCAGTCTCATTACATTTCCAACATTTGTTATTGGGCAGATGATAAATTTTTGCAAGCTTGACTGGGGTCATGTACCACCTATACATCATTTTCATAATGTTTTCTCTTAAGGCATTACATGCCGTAAATTTAGTACCGGTGGTCCACAGCTGTTCCCAGTCAGCAAACATAATGTTATGACCAATATCTTGTGCCCATTTTATCATAGCTGATTTCACCGTTTCATCCTGTGTGTTCCATTTCAACAGCAGATTATACATTCTCGACAGATTCTTAGTATTGGGTTCTAACAGTTCTGTTTCTAATTTTGACCTCTCCATCTGGAAACCTATTTTCCTGTCCTGTTTAAATGTCTCGTTTATCTGAAGGTAGTGCAACCAATCTCGCACTTTGGACTTTAATTTCTCATAACTCTGTAATTTAACTTTTTCCCCATCTTGTTCTAAAATTTCACAATATTTTGGCCATTTAGACTCCATATTAAGTTTTTTCACCTCTTTAGCTTCCATTGGTGACAACCACCTGGGAGTTTTACTTTCCAATAACAGCAAGCTATATAGTCGGAGAATAAAGAGGCAGCTTACATTCAGAGTATCCTATTTATCATGGCAGACCCCATGTGATCTTTAATTACTTTCTTCAGAACTGCATCAGGCTTGTACTCTGTATTCAAAACTTGTTAAAGCTGTAGATCTTTAGGCTCCTTTGTCCCAGAGCATCCTTGAACCTGAGGGTGTTCGATTCTTTGCCACCAAGACTATACAGACAGATGGCAAAGGCTCTGGCTCACTGATTTGCTTGCCTCGAGATTCAGTTACAGCTGGAGAAGTGTCAGCATCGGAATGTTTTCTAATATGGCTCAGGAAGCCAGAAGATGACAGCAGCTTCTTCGTCAAAGTTCTTGTTGCCTTGCCTGCAGTGGTAACAAACAGAATACAGAAATCAAGTGAAATGTTTCCATGCTTTCGAATATAGGTAGTGGGTGGACCCAGTAGCAGATGGAGTTGGGTCCTGTAGCAGCTACAAAAACAGGAGGAGGGGGAGAAGAAGGAGGACAAGAAAAAGGAGGTTGTTTATTAACCAGATTGAAGTAGAAGTGGTGGTAATTAAAACACGTAGAGTTGTTGCTCAGCTTGTTAGATTATGTAATATATTGAGTTGAGTTGAGTGGCCAAAACAGATCAGCTCTAATGAATGGAACTTGAATGTCACCTAGAAAGCTGCCTTATACCAGATCAGGTTGTTTGGCTCTCTAGCTCAGCCTTCTCTGACTGACAGAGGTTCTACAGTGTCTAAGGCAGAGTAGGGTCTCTCAAACCAGCTGCTACCTGATCCCTTTAGCTGGAGGTGCCTGGGATTGAACTTGGCCTATACAAAGCTTGCTTCCGCTACCAGATGGCCACTCCAGCCCACCCCACTCCAAGTCTCAGTTGCAAAAGCACTCAAATACAGGCTAGGTTATTAAGTTAAAAACACAGAGCTACCATTTTCAGCTGAGGGCATAAATATCCTTGAGGGTGGAAGGTTAAACAAACATTGGACTAATCTATTAAGGCAGTTCTCCGAAGCAGAGAAAGCTACACTATCTCAGCCGTGTCCACTTTTTTTTTGCCACTGCTGCTAAGATTTGTGAGATTCTGAGGGACCAGGTGGGGGGACATTTCAGCCAGAACAACCCTTGTCCCATCAAAAAACAGGGTTTAGTCACCCCTGCAATGATGAAATATCAGACTTTTATGACAGTCATTTCACACTTCTGAGAAACTCTCCTACAGGTGCAGATATCTTTAGGTCATCTTCTCCCCATCCATCTTCTGCCAAATGTGGCCTAACAAGCAGTGCAGAGACCTTGTCTTCTGTTTGCAGCTCAGCTCTTAAAGATTCCTGTTGTGCAGCAGCTAATTAACTGCTGGTTGTTTGCTCTCCATTTGCTTTGCCAATTATCCAAGCTCAAGGAAACAGGGCTCAGACATACGATCTGTTCTAAAACAAATGCGCTGGCAGGCAGGTAAGCTTGTCCTCCACCTGAGATAAATGTGTTTATTTTCCCTCCCTTCTGGCCCTATCTTCTTATTAAGGCACTCAGATTGTAGATTTAGAGTGATCTTTGGGAGTCAGCGAAGTAAATATAGGTCGTATTGTGTGGTAGTACGCAGCACAGAACAATCAGAAGCCCTTTATATAAGAGCTGGGAATTGATATGCTGAGTTCTATTAAAGCCACCTGAAATTGCATTAGCCTTTTTTGCAGCTGCATCACATGTCTGATTCATGTTCAACAGGCAACTGATTACAATGCTGAGATCCTTTTCACACGTACTAATGCCAAACTTCTAGCCTTCTTGGGCTCCTTTTCCCATCAAAATGGAAGCCTACCTAGCCTTATGATTAGGTTTTCTGAAACTTGAGATATAACGTTCACTGCACTCAACATTGGCTTTCCATAAGATCATGAATTCTGGAGTTGCAATACTTCCCACTGCTTTGATTTCATGGCCAACTCTTCCCAAGGATCAAGTCACGGATGGCAGATTCCTTCATCCCTCCCTGACAGAGGAGCATGTCAATAAGGCAGGACAGCAATTTGGTGGAGGGTCTACACATAGAGGAGTTTGTTTCCAAGCAGATATCAGGGTGATGGGAAATTTCTCATCACTATTAATCCTTGCTTGCCTGAAACCTCTGTAATCTGCTTCTTGAAAACTTCGTTCACATCCTCATTTTAACTTGCTAATCTAAAATAGAGTCCAACCCCAGAGTTGTTTGAAATTCTTTATCCCTGGAGGTTTGTTTTCTTCCATGGTGGGGAAAAAGAGAATCTTCTGCCTGCCTGCTGCTAAAGAACAAGACCACTGGCAGCCAAGACATCAGACTATTTTATTGCCAACTTTTTCCTGGCAAAGGCTCTGTGCCGACATGCCAGAAAGAAATGGAGAACATGCAGCACTTCTGATCCCTAGGCAAGGCCGGGTGGATGCATAAAACAGGCAACCTGTAATCTAACCCAAAGAGGTGGCCAGCAATAAATGATGTCTACAGCTACACTAAACTGCAAGCATAATTTATTGATGGGAGCAACAAACAGCCAATTAAAGTGTGTGCAATAATGTCCATAAGTGCACTGAGTACAACAGTGGGGATTAAAGATGTTGAAACTAAATTCTTCTGTGGAAGCCATAGGAAGAATGCAATGTAAAACGTTTCTCCCCCTTCACAGTGACCAGAGAAAAACAACGAGTTGTAGCCAATGCTAGTCCTACTCCAATAGACCCAATGAAATTAATAGCCAAGACTAACTTCAGTGAGCTACTCTGAGTAAGAATAGCATTGAATGCTCTGGCAACACCTCAAAGTGACATAAAACAAGAAAAATGGGGGAAAGTGACCATCTCATCCTGAATCTCAAGAACCTTCTATCTGTAGAAAGAAGCCTGTTTACAAAACAGGATCCAGAGACATTTTATTCGAAAGTCAGGACAGCAACCCAGAAGAAGAATCACACATTTTTGAAGTTCAGGGTTTCAGCCTGTTAACTCACACGTTATTAAAGTTGAGCTGAATGATAACCTGGTCCTGCCATGAGGCAAAATGAGGCAACCAACTCAGGCCACAGTTGATGGGGAGCAGCAGCCACAACTCCCTGAATGTTCCTCCTAAATATTCTGGCCATTCCTCACTATTGGAGGCAGAGCTGTGTATGCAATGCAACCTCGTTGGCCCCTCTACTGCTTCTGGTGCAATAGATGACTCTATCCCATCACTGATGTTGAAGTAAGAATCAACATCCAACCCAGCCAACTTATATATATGGAGTGGGGAAAGATACCAGCTTATAATTTGGGGGCAGGCCCTACAACCCACCCTTTCATATTAGTTTAGCATTGACTGGAACCTCCACTAACCCCTAGTGAAATCCTATACATTGGGGATAATAAACTTTCTACCCTCCAGATGTTGTTGGAATACAACACCCATCAGCTCCAGCTAGCATAGTCAATGGCCAGGGATGCTGGGAGTTGTACTTCAGCAACATCTGGAGGACCAAGTGTTCCCCATCCATCCCTGCTATAGATGTCTTCTCTGAAGGAAATCCCACTGGGTTCAATGGGACTTACTCCTAGGTCAGCGTGCTTAGACTTGCACCAAATCTATCTGCAGCTGACAAACTCACTGGAATTGCTGTCCTTGTCAATTTTTAACTACTGGGTGCTGTAGAATACCTGCTGGTTTTATTCTTGCTTGTGTTCTCTGCCACTCATGAAGGAACATGTAGGAAATGCATTTGATGTAATGCATACTGGGTTGATGTCCACGTCAGGAAGTACCAGAGAGACTCCTAAGTTTACTTAAAAGGAAAGGGGTTCCCAGATGCTTGTTAACTATGCCAGGAGATGGCTGTTTGGGTGGGACTATGCTGTCTTTCTGGCTGGTTGGTCTCTGTTTACTGAGGTTGGTACAGCACAAATGCAACAGCAGCAGCTCTAGATGGTACCCCAGTGTGTCTGCACTGCGCTGACTTCTCCACCACCTCTCCACCCTCCTTGGAAGTGAGCAACAGTGACCCACCTGCTGGAAAGCTAGTATGGTGTCTGTACCCCACCTGGTAAGCTATTTCTGCTCATGTCTGTTTGTTTGGTTTTACTGAGGAGTAGGTCCATTGTGTTCAGTGGAGCTAATTCCTCCCAAGTTAGTGGACATAGGATGGCAAACTAACTCCAAATTGTGACCCAAACACATTATTTCTCACCTGTATCTAATTGCTGTGGCTCACACTCCCTGTCTCCCAAAAGCAAAGAAGGAATAAGAAAGAGAGATCTTACTTTCGATGGTGTGGCGCTCCAAATGAATGAAGCGAGAAGATTCTTGCAAGCCAAGGGGCCAAGGGCAGATCTATGAGCCGCAACAACAGCATCAGCCGGTTGCACAGCTCAGCAAACGTTTCTGCTTTAATGGCTTCTGATTAGTTTCCACACTGTCTGCCTTTCAGAGGCAAGACTGCCAGGGATGCTATTCTGCATCCCCTAGAAAAGCTTGGCTTTTTCTCTCAAGGTCTCCCTTTGGAGCTGCTGTGCCACAGGGAGGGAAAAGCTGGCTCTAGCAAATCATCAGCTACACCAAATCTGTTTATGCCTCATAGAACAAGCCATCTTGAAAGCCTGCCCTCGCTCACCAGCACACACAAAAACTGGCATCTCACATCCTTTGCCTATCACGTTGTCCACTTTCTGAAATGGATCTTCATCTTATGTAACGGGAGAAGAATGTCATCAGCAACAAGGCAGGAGATATGTACACGTGAGTCACAACTTGTTCTGCCGTTGTTGTTGTTGATGATGATGATGATGATTTCTTACCTGGCCTTCATCCCAGGTCTCAGGGCAGATTAGAACAATATAAAGATGTACCTTTTAAAATCAGTTAAAACCATTTGTAATCACATGGATAGGCCAGTTCCTAAAATATATGGGTGGCAGTCAACTAGATTTTACTCAAAGTCAACTAAGTTAGGTCCATTAATTTCAATGAGTCTACTCTGAATAAAACTTAGCTGTATGTTTATTAGGTGTCAAAGGGCAGGTGTGTCTTCCGCATTTGATGAAAGCTGTGTAATCCAGATAAATCTCTGTGGGGCAGGCTTTTATAGACAATGCCCTCCCCTGGGCTGCCACCTCCCAAACTACTAAAGATGGAAGAACTACTAAAAGGCCCCTCTCTGCTGATTGTAACACCCCAGACGGTATTATATATGATACAATATAATGAAGCACAATTCAGAACAAGGAAGACTGAAACAGTAGCATCCAACCCGAAATACTAAAGTGCAGAAGATAT